TCACATATCCATTGTTCTTTGAGGAGATCGTTGGTTTTAACTTAACTGGGCTGAGCTGGAGGTTTGTTTTGGTACTAAGTTCCCTCTTTCCCAGTTTAGTTCCCTCTTTCATTTCTGGTTCTACCTTTATGGAGGGGCATTTCAGGTTGAATTAGAATGATATACCGCGTTATCACCCGGATCGCAGGAAATCATTGGAATACATAATTATACATAATACATAATTACATAATACATAATTATACACACTTATTCATTATATATGAACAGCGTAACCATATACTGAACCAGTATTCATAAATAACCATTCAACTGAATGATCGCGTAAGAATTTCAGGTGACTGCTACAAAATCCTCTGTAATGATTGAAGAAGAAAGTGATGAATCGGATGTGGATTCGAGCGATTTCTTTGGACTACATTCTGCCTCAACTGTACCTCAATTACCCGTGAACTATAAGCCACTAGCAAGAATTTCGGATGTTAGCTACGGTCCATCGCGGCCATCAGATCGTCTCAGTCAGGTCGATTTCAAAGTTTTGATCATATTCAAAATTTTTTTATCATTTCATAGTTTTTATCACTCCTATAAACGATCGTTTTTATGGTTTCTTTTGAGTAATCCGAAAATATTTTTTACTTTTAATATTTGAATTCTCNGGTCATCTTGTTCACATCATTTGTTCGGTTAGGGCTCATGTAACTTGCACGTTTTGGATCGATTCGGTTACTGTCTTTTGAAATCTCTCCATCTATGCTGTTTCAGCCGTCATCTTTGACGCAAACTAATGACTACGATGAACAGTTATCGAATCAAGTGGAAGGCCCTTCGACCTCTGGTGTAATCGATAATAGCGTAAGTTGCTTGTTAAAGTCTATATCAAATTGATGTCGTAACACCGGTTCATGTATTTTGAATGAATGATAAGTGTTTTTTGTGCATTATTTTTAGTTTGTTGCTCTAAGGTGAATGTTAAAACGAGTGCTTTGTTCCGCATTCGGTAACACTGTTCAGTTCTCATTATTATCCAGTTCGGTTCAGTCAAATGAGTTTAATTACTCAATAATTGTAGCAGTAGCAGTCAATCAAAATCGATGTTTTGGTGAGATAATCACACGAAATATTATTCATTTAGAAAGCGCAGGAAATGATTTACACGAATGACATCGCGTTGTGGGGTGGATCGGAAGCGAATGCAGCCGAAGCAATTAGTGGAATTGTAGACGTCAGTGTTGATCAGGTAAGTGTCATTATTTGATTGGATATTGGTGTCTTCTTCAACTACTCCGTTGAGGAGATCAGTTGAATCAATCAGATGTTAGATTTAGTTCATTCTATTTATGTTACTATATGTACTGCTGTCATTTAGTTAATACGGGCTAGCATAACTTTCGCTCAGTGGGTACATTTTAATATTGTATGTATGAGCAGCTGCATCGACTTTTTTAATTCTGATTACGAGAAAATTGCGTTCTGTTCGATCAGAATTAAACTGACTCAAGTCTCGCGTTTAACTTTCACGCAAGACAGCGTGATTATCATTAGTTGTTGCGAAGTGCCTAAAAACGTAATCAGAAATTGGCGTTAGCAACAGAACTGGTAATAACATGCTGCTGTCATTTTTAGGTGTTAGGACCAAACGTGCAAGCGAACCTGTTAAAGAATCTTCACAATAAATCGTTAGCAGAAGCAGCAATTTCGCATTTGGCTGCGATACCGAAGGGTAAAGGACCAAAAGATATGGTGGCAAGAAGAAAACATCAAATCACCTACTTGGCGACTATGGTTTGTATTTTTGCATTCGCAACTCTTTTTTCAAACAATCTATCAACACCGATATTTTTCTATCGTTTCACCCTCATCGCAAGAAAATGCTTGCAGTTATCATCGATTGATTGGATTTTTCGAAGCGTTTCGTATTAATGAACAAACCGCTTCCAATGAATCCGTTTGCTGAAATTTTGATGTGTTTTTCACGAAATAAGTAACACTCGTTTCACGTCGTCCAACTTGTCACCCTTCTTTATCAGTCATAAAATTTAAGTGCTCAGCGCGTTTTGGTTTCTTAAGTTCTGATTTCTCCAGATGTATATGTGCAACAGTTTTCGATGTTTTCAGGCGGTCGCTCGAGAAGAACAACTTGCTGAGCAGTGGTCACAGAATCGTCATATGAAACGTGTTTCGGCCCAAAAATATGGATTCTAACCATCCTTTGTTGCACTGTGAACGTGTTAGGTTGGCCACCAAGCTGACCATCAAACATTTTCCGCTTCAGCACGCTGGTATCATTGAAGCACATAAAAATTAATCAGCTTGAACACGATTCACCGGAAATGACTGTAATTACCGTCGAGCTGGATTTATTTCGTCGAGCAATGTGTTTAAAGAATGTTCCATTGATTTTCATTTATTCAAATTTATGGAACCTGAAGTGATGTATATACATCGTATTTCCTGAAATGATTCCCTTTTCTCCCTGAGCAAACTTTCAAAAAGTACTTTGCAAACTCCCCTTACATTCCTTCAATATATTGTTCTCATTCCTCAAAAGAAAAAAAACAAACGCCCTCAGTCGTCCTTAAATCCGGGATTTTTTGCCGAAAATACGTCTAAATTGGTTCTGTCCTGGATTTGATCGATCGTGTGGAAGGCTTTCATTTTACGTTAGCTCGATTGCTATTCTCAACCTTTTTCAATCATCGTCCATGTTTTAAATTTTTCCAGTGAGCAACAAAAATGCGTGTTATTCAATCCAGCGACATCTTTTTGTACGTTGTAGCTATTGCGATTGTTAAGAGTGCATTATTTTAATGAATAAAATATCGTTATTGACGTTACACTCGTTAATACAGTTCAAGACTAGCGTCCGAACATTCCTTAGATGTGTACGAAAAGAAACTTGAAAATTGTGATTGTCGCTGTGCCGTAAAGCAGGACCTCAAGGAAATGATCATGCTGATAATTACTTAAAAGTGGTGTTTGTCAATTTTTGTATTGTTGATAGTCTCGAATCACTTCTGACTGATCGCGGTGCAGCTCATCTCATCCCTCATAAGGCTGGCCATAAGCCTTTCGGTTCATGAGGCTTTAGAAGGTCTATTCACAGTCGATCGTCAGTGTTGTGTCTAAAGTTGGCAGCAGCAATTTTTTTTTGGTGCTTCCTAATCGAACACCCTGTCGATGGGCTCCGAAATTTGTTATAACTGAGAGGGGGATTCTGAGCATCCGTCGGTTTCGAACGGTGGTGACCGGAGCTCGGTTTGCTGAAACCACCGACGCAAGCCCCCAAATTCCAGAAACTCCTGAAAAACGGTCGATTGTTCCCGACTGCATTTTCGGGCTCCTCTTGGTTCGGGAGCTCTCCACTTAACTCTAAGAAGAAGTGAGATCATCGCTACATATGATATACTAAACTATTTTCTTGAAATCGGTCAAACGTCGCGGAAATCACGACAAAAAAGTAAATTGAGATGACGGCTTGAGTAAGACGGACGAATTGAACAAGAACGAAACAACCACAGCCACTTGTGAAGACGATTAGTTCATTATCAGAAAGAAATATCGAATACTAGAAAGAAAATATTCATATTATGAGTGTAATCAAATAAATAAAATTAACGATAAGTTGAATTCAAATAAGTGTTGTCAAAATAATTCAAATAAATATTTGCAAATTCAAATAAGCGATGTCGATTCATCTCCTATAATTTTCTAGCGGTTTGTACTATCGCTAAAAGTTATCAAAACAACAACAAAGTCTTTCTGCAAAGTATTCATCTGCTATTTGTTTCCACGGCCATCTCATGTATGAGCGTTTGGTTAATCCAATCGCATTAAAAAGTGATAGAAACCGCAATCAAACACAATGCAGTATGATGATTTGCAGATCATGCAACCTGCATCTCATATGAATTCGAAGAGTGTATGAGCCTTCAGTTGGGTAAACGCCCAGATAGCCAATCTTCTCGAAGGTTCTCAAAATTAATTGATATTAATGAATCACTTTTCCTTGGATGCAATTCTGATTCACTCACAACAGTTTTTCATTTTAGAAGAACGCAAATTGATCACTGGAAAAACTAACGACTGCCATTGGGTAGAGATTTCTCGCTAATACTGAGAAAAAAATTCTGAAAGTAAATATGGAGAGTGCGATGAGCCTCGGAAACTGAAAACAACATGTTTTAATAAACAGAAACTTGCTCCTTTTCACAAAGCATCAAAGGACTTTCTTTAACGCAGTTTTGATATTCACCGAATACGAGAAACGAACCGTCGTAATCGATCCAGAATAGGGATGCACGCACGACAACGTCGCCAGGTCTAAAAATATGTAAATTCCCCGGCTGAAGGTCCTGAATGTTGTCTAGTAAGAATATCATTGTTGCTTCGCTAAAGTTGAGGTTTTCCAACGGCAATATTTTGCATTCCGATGGATCGTGCATTGCGCTGTTGACAGTCTGTTAAACGATTTCCACCACAGCACGAAATTCAGCTCCAATTGTTCGATTTCATGCCATCGGTGATATCATTCTGTTTACGAAACGGTGTTAATTTATTCAAATATCAATTGGCCTGACTGTTAACTTCATAGCAAGAAAGTGCATTGAGAAACGTCATAGTTACGCTGTAAAAGGAGTATAAAGTCATCATCTCTTTGCCGAATACATTCACTGCGCTGACACAGCCGCACCGATGAGTATGAAGTCTGCTTTGCTTGTTGCGCTCTCGGCAATCCATCTGACAGCAGTTTTTTCAACAGGTGAGCCTATCCTGATTTTCGACCACTTTGGATCAGTATTTTGCAAGTTACATGGTTAATCAATAGTTCAGTGGCAGAAGGGGCTGGGTTGGAGGCAGGATCAGGCTCAACAGCTCTCCAGATCCTGTGAAGGCTAAGCGGCATCTAGACTTCTGTGGGTAGTCGAAACCCATGACTCAACCCTACAGCGCCGAATAACTTCTGATAAATCTAGGATTTGATGGCTGTTTAACAGGGTTTATGAGTCTTCTCCCCGCATCACCTAAAACCAACACCGTAGATGAAAACTATGATCATTCGAGTATGTTATAATTAGTTGCCTGGATGCTTCATATGTTCCATGCTGTCGTAAATGCCCTTACAATCTCCGACGTCATTTAAAACCACCACCGTAGAAAAAAAACGATGATCTTGGGATGTGCTTCCATTGGCTGCCTAGATGCTTCGCATGCTCCATGCTATCGCGAAGCGCTTCAAACAGTGTTTGATTTAGGATGATGAAATGTTTCGATTTAAAAGGCGCTTATTTTCAGACTGCGATCTTGAGCTGGAGCAGTGTGATACACGTGCTTGGACAAGTTGCAAGTTACCTGCGGGTGGTTGCGTATCAAATCCAAACCTCTGCGTTGATAAGTATAATCTGTGTAAAGCTGCAGAAATTGGTAAGTTTCTTTAAATCCGACTGTTCCAAACGATGCTTGAGCATTGGATATACATACGTTTACTTGTCTCCCTTCCCCAATTCGATCAATAATTTGAATGAAGAAACGAGGTTCTCGCTACATTTGAGATGATGAATTCGTTTCCTGCCGCTTGTCAGAATATTGTGAGAGTACATTTTGTTCTATATGCTCGAAAACCTCGAAGCGATGGTTCAGAACCGGAACGGTATATGGTACAATGCTTCAATTTGTTCGTCTCCCATGAAACTTGAATGATTGAACGCTCACATAGCCCAGCGATAATGTACTTGGTGATCGCGCTATGTCAGACTCAAGTTCTTGATATACAACTTCATTGCCAGTAATGAATAGAAACACAACGAACAGCAAACGAATAGAATGTTTGTTACGAAATTTACAACGAAACGTTGATTCGTCCCAGAAATCAACATTCTGTTGCAGAAGCTGTTCGATTGGAGGCGGAATCAAACTCGAGCGCATCCGAGGTCGAACTCAGTTTCATCAGCTCCGAAACTCTTGCAGGTTTGTTGCGGCCTGTATGACTTCCTGAATACATTCCTCCTAAAGTAACTCGTTAATGTGAAGCAGATGTAAAGTGGAAAACCGTTTGTGTATGTCTGTTGTCTTGAAGCTCAACTATTTCCTGGATTGTTGTTGAATTAAATAGAGTTTAATGCCAAATGATGAAATGCGTTACTTTGAGAATGCGATAGTCAGCTGCTGCAATGTTTTGAGACCGCGCGGATGATTTGCCATATTGTGTTGGTGCCTTGCGTATCTGTTCCAGACAGATGTCGCCATTTTCATGATCTCTGCAAAGCTGGTGGAATTGGTATGTTTCTACAATGCTAATTGCCTTATCGGATGCTTGTGCTTTTGAAATACGTACATTTTTTCAAAATATTATCCTGAAATGGACGAAAAATTTCGATAACCGACCGAGTGAGGTCGTCGCCACACACAATGAAATATTATAAATCGGTTTCTTGAAATCACTCACTCTATCTCGAGTGTTGTGGAAATCATGATAAAAATAAGCAGAATTTATGGTTTGAGTTATGTCGATGAATTGAACAAGAGCGAAACAGCCACACTTTCGGGTGTAGCTGATGAGCTTATTAACTGACAGAAATAACAAATCAAAAACGCAGTTAACATAGCTCCGTGATAATGTACTCGGTAACCGCGTTAAGGTCCAGCCAATTTGCTGATCTCTAACTTCACTTCAAATAACGAGGGAAAG